AGACTCCAAAATAAACTCTCAGAACTATTTTTTTTTCATTCAGTAAAGTTTCAGGATACAAAATCAACAGACAAAAATCAATAGCATCTCTATACACCAATAATGAAATCAGTTAAAAAGAAATTAAGAAGGCAATCCCATTCACAATAGCAATAATTAAAAACAAAATTCCCAGGAGAAAATTTAACCAAGGAATTGGAAGACTTCTACAAAGAAAACTACAAAATACTGATGAAAGAAATTTAAAAAGACAAAAACAAATGGTAAGACATCCTATGCTCACAAATCAGAATTAACATTGTTAAAATGACCATACTACCCAAAGCAATCTACAGATTCAAGGATATCTGTGATATCCTTCTGTGAAGGATTTTTTCACAGAAATAGAAAAAACAATCATACAATTCATATGAAACCAAAACAGAGCCTGAATAGCCAAAGCAATCCTGAGCAAAAAGAACAAGGAGGCATCAGGCTACCTGACTTCAAAGTATATTACAAGGCTATAGTGACCAAAACAGCATGGTACTGGTATAAAACCAGACACATACATCAATGGAACAGATTAAGAGAACCCAGAAATAAATCCATGTACTTACAGCAACTGATTTTTAACAAAGGGGCTGAGAACATATATTGGGGAGAGGACAGACACCCTCTTCAATTAATGGTGCTGTGAAAACTGGATATCTATATGCAGCAGATTGAAACTGGATCCCTGTCTCTAAGCACAAAAATCAACACAAATGCCTTAAAGACTTAAACGTAAGACCTAAAATGATAAAGCTACTAGAAGAAAACATGGGGAAAACGCTTTAAGACACGGTCTAGGCAAAGTTTTTATGGCCAAGATCTCAAATGCACAAGCAAGAAAAAAATAAACAAATGGTATTATATTAAACTAAAAAGCTTCTGGGCTGGGAATGGTGGTTCACACCTGTAAACCTACCACTGTGGGAGGCCAAAGTGGGAGGATCACTTGAGGCCAGGAGTTTAAGACCAGCCTGGGTAACACAGCACGATCCTATCTCTACAAAAAATGTTTTAAAATTAGCCAGGCCTAGTGATACACACCTGTAGTCTCAGTTACTCGGGGGGCTGAGGCAGGGGGATCGCTTGAGCCCAGGAATCTGAGGCTGCAGTAAGCCATGATCATGCCACTGTACTCCAGCATAGGTGACAGAGACCCCAACTCAAAATGTAAAAATAATAAGCCTCTGCATAGCAAAAGACATAATCAACAGAGTGGACAGACAACTTGTTGACTAGAGAAAATACATGCAAACTATTCATCCAACAAGCAGCTAATACACAGAATATACAAGGAACTGAAAGCAGTCAACAGTAAGAAAACAAAAAATCCCATTTAAAAATGGGCAAAGGACATAAACAGACATTTCTCAAAAGGCATACAAATAGCCAACAGCTATATGAAAAAATGTTCAACATCACTAATCATCAGGGAAATGCAAATCAAAACAATAATAAGAACACCTCACCCAGTTAGAATGGCTACCATAAAAAGACAAAAAATAACGGATGCTGGCAAGAATGCAGAGAAAAGGGAACTCTCATACACTGTTGGCAGGAATGTAAATTAGTACAGCCACTATGTAAAACAGTATGGAGATTTCTCAGAAAACTAAAAATAGAACTACTACACAATCAAAATCAGTATATCAAAGGGATACCTGTACCCTCATGTTTATTGCAGCGCTATTCACAATAGTAAAGATAAGGAATCATACCAAATGTGCCCATCTACAGATAAATTAATAAAGTAAGTATGGGGTATGTGTGTGTGTGTTGAGAGAGGGACAGGGAGAAGGAGAAGGATGGGGAGAGGGAGAGGGAGAGGGAGAGGGGGGAGAGGAAGAGGGAGAGAGAGAGGGAGGGGGAGGAGGAGAGGGGAGGGGAGGAGAGGGAGAGGGGGAGAAGGGGAGAGAGAGAAAGAGAGAGAGAGTGAGAGACAATGAATGAACAAGAATGGGATACTACCTGGCCATAAAAAAGAACTAAAATCATGTTCATATGCAGCCACATGGATGGAACTGGAGGTTATTAGTGAAATATAAGCCAGGCACAGAAAGACAAACAGTGCATGTTCTCACATATATGTGGGAGAAAAAAAAAAAGTTAATCTCATAGAGTTACAGAGTAGGATGACAGACACAATAGACATTAGAGACTGGAAAGGGTGTGTCAGTGGGATGCGGGGATGAAGAGAGGTTAATGGGTACAAACACAGCGAAGAGGAATAAGAGGCAATGTTTAATAGCAAAGTAGGGTAGTTAACAACATACTATTTCAAAATAGCTGGAAGAGAGGATGTGAAATGTTCCCAACACACAGAAATGAAAAATATTCAGTGATGGATACTCTGAATACCCTGACTTGATCATCACACAGTCTATGCATATAATAAAGCATCATGTATTCCTCATAAATACATAAATATGCACAAATATTATGTATTAATTTAAAAATTAGACATTTTCTTGTACAAAACACCCTGTGAAGAGGATGAAAGGAAAAGCTTCAAACTGAGAGAAAATATTTGCAAACCACATATCCAACAAAGTATCTAAAATACATAAAGGACATTTAAAACACAACAATAAAAAAGCAAACAAGCCAATTAGAACATGGGCAGAAAACACGAACAGAAATTTCATTGAAAAGGACTTACAGATGGCAAATAAGCACAGGAAACAATGTTCAACATCATTAGTAATCAGGGAAATCCAAATTAAAACCACAATATAGCAACACACCTACCAGAATGGCCAAAATAAAAAATAATGACAATACCAAATGCCGGTAAGAATGCAGAGGAATGTAAAATGGTACAGTCACTCTGGAAAGCAATTTAGTGCTTTCTACAAAATAAACATGCAATAACCATACAACCCAGTAACTGCACTCCTGGACATTTATCCCAGGGATAACAAAAATTCATGTTCACACGAACATCTGTACAAGAATGTTCACGGCAGCTTTATTTGCAATAGCCAAGAAATGGAAACAACCCAAATGTCCATCAGCATCTAAAAGGAACAAACTAAGTGGGATATGTAAAAATCTAGATAAATCTCCAGAAAATTGTGCTGAGTAAAAAAAGTCAATTCTAAAAGGTTGTATAACATTTGATTCCAGTTATGTAAGATTTTAGAAATGTCAAAACTTAAGAAATGAATATCAAATTAGTGGATGCCAGAAAGTATGCCTAGGGGGCCAGAGCAGGGTGGGATGGAAATTGGCATGGTTAAAAAGGGTAACAGGAAGGATCCCAGGGTAACAGAACACCAAGTCAGTGTCTTGACTATGGCGGTAGGTACATGAACCAACACATGTGATAAAGTACATGGAATACATGCAACAAAGAAATGAATACTACTAAAACTGAGGAAATCTGAATAGATTGATATATTGTATCAGTGTCAATATCCTGGTTGTGATACAGTGCTATAGTTTTACACTATAGATAAATTCATAGGTTACAAAAACAACTTTGTTATTGGAGGAAACTGGGTAAATGGTACCTGTAATCTCTTTGTATTATTTCTTACCACTGCATGAAAATCTACAATTATCTCAATAAAAATTCCAATTAAAACTAAAAGATAATTCAATACAGATATACATTCTCATGGAAGAATCCCTGTAACATCAGTAAGAGCAGTTTTAAGAACACACTAGCAGAAATATGACTGCCAAAGAGCAATCTAAAAAGCAGAAAGTCTGTGAGAGTCCACCTCCTTGTTTCTGAGAAGTTTTAATATCGATCACAGAAAAGACAATAACCCAAGGCATATCCAAGGTACCAAGATCTCAGTTATCCAGAAGAACATATACAATGCTCAATAAGGATTGATTTGTGCTAAAACTATATCCTAAATTATTGCTAAGACTACTCTAAAGTTTAATTGGAAAAAAAAAATCTAAGTAACAGATTTAAGCATCTGCTAGAAGCAGAAACACATTCTCATGTTTTATAATTCATTCATCCATTTGACAAACGTTTATGCAACACCTTCTTTGAACAAAGGCCTGGGCTAGGGAAAGGTTACTCCGGCACTCTCACCTCCCACCACCCGGCCTTGAGCCTGCTCTCAAGCATCTTCCCAAATAGGAGGGGAGATCAGATAAAAAGAAACTGATACCTAATTTTATTGAGACCACAAAGCAGTTTCTGATCCAATACAATTAAATGTTTTTTGATTTATCCACAGATGACAGAGTGTGGTGACAAGGGTTATGATAATGTTAGAAATTTTAGTTTTCTTTTCATAGTGGTTATCATCACAGTAACTATAAAAATGCAATACAAACTATAAAAAATGCAAGCAATAAACAGTGGCTTATATACCCTTTCTAGACCATTCCAGAAACAAACCCATGTAAAACAAAAATGCTAGTCTTTAAAACAAGCCAAATGAGGGCATAAAAAGACCAGCTAAGTGTCTCTAACCAAATCATTTTTTAGTATATACCCCCTTCAATGACACAAAATCTGTGACATTCCCTAACAAATCCAAAGCACTTTACACTTTGTAAAGCAGCCATAATGGATGACTGCAAAATTCCTTAAGAATCTGTTTCATTACTCCTCTCAAATCAAATGAAGGGTCTCCAAAAGGACAGAGCCAAAGCCCAATAAGGATTAACAAGGGCTTTAAAAGCAGCTCAGCTGACATCTTTAGATTCTCATAGTGGACAAAGCAGAACAAGTAAGCTGTATCAACTGAGTTAAGATTATGTATCTATTGGGTACGCTTTACCTTTCAACTGTTAACAGGATTCTTTGATGTCTGCCATCAAATAGTAATTCAGGATTTGTGATTCTTAAATACACAAATCAGGCTATTCTCTATTTACTTACTGTCTAAGACTATTGACTCTTAGCTATAAAATTACTATTAACTGTCATAATATAAAAAAGGTCCAATATGTTCTCTCAAAATAACATCTTCCTAGAGTCAAATACAAATTGAACTTACCACTTTTTTAAAATCATCTTCTGCTTCATCAAGTTTTCCTTGTTTGAGTAATAAGTGACCTCTCTGTAATCTTGCCTAGAAAAAAAGGGGACGGGGAATTATCTTGAATATTATAGATTTCTAAATCTTTTTAAACACTAAGAATAAAACTAAATAAACAAATTATTAATATTTATTTTTCCAATTGCACATCTGACTTGACACCAAGAATAATTCCTGGAACCAATGAATGTGTATAATTTTTCTTAAAGTATGCTTCCTCAAAAATACTTTTGTTCTACCCAAGAAAACTGAAAACATGTCCACACAAAAAGTTGTACATGTATGTTCACAATGATAGCCAAAAAGTGGAAATAACCAAATTCCCATCAACTAAATCAATATATAAATATATCCATACAACAGTATTCAGCCATAAAAAGGAATGACATATTGACATGTGCTACATGAATGAACCTTGAAAACATTATGCTAAGTGAAAGAAGTCAGACACAAAAGGCCAAACAGTATACGATGTTATAGTATATGAAACAAACGTCTAAGTGGCTGCCAGGAGCTAGGGAAGCAATGGGGAGTGACCGCTAATAGGTACAGGGCTTCTTTGGGGGGTGATAAAAGTGTCTTACAAGTAGCTAGTGGTGACCACTGCACAACCTGTAAATATACTAAAAACCACTGAATACTTTTAAAGGGTAAGTGTGATGGCATATAAATTATATCTCAATTTTTAAAAATACTTTTTGCCCTACAATAAAAGTTGTGTATGTTGGGACTTTACCAAAGCCTCTTCCCTTTTAACATGCATCAGTTTATCCCCCTTCATCTGATATTCCTCTTCTTCTAATGTGTATAATCCCATTTCTTTCAAGAATACCAACTCTGTATGACCAATGAAGCCACACCAATATTCCACTTAACCCTATATACATTACTTTTACAGTACATAAAATTTTCCTAACCCTGTTAAATCCATCAATACAATAAAAAGCAAGATTAAACTATCATAAAAAGCCATTTCAGCTATCATAATACTAAGAAAATGAGCCATTTAACCTTTGTGAAAGGTTGTGCTTGCTTAGCTGTGTAAGATAAATCTGAAAAATATTTGAGATTTGGGAATTCCATCTTAAAATATTAGTAATATCTCAAATCAAACATTCACCCCATATCTAATCAGTTATCTCAAATCCTTCTCAAAATACAGTAGGAAATAAATAATAAATGGTTATCAAATTAATTCTGAAACCATCTAATTGGTCAGTGGTTGTCAATTCTGCCTCTAAAAGCCCCACCTGAGTTCTACCTCATGAGTCCCTCCCTGTTCACATGTCTGTCACAACCTTTATGGTGACCTGCCAATCATCAGGATTTCCTACTAGGCTACAAGTTTCTCCATGCCTGAAGCTTGTGGATTGGTTCCAGGGGATGTCTCTGCTAATTTAGCATTTTATTGTCACCACAAATCACAGCCCAATTAAGTAATCCCCACTTTACTCTTCCTGGTACAGCCTTAAGTAGAACTGCCGTCAGTCACCTGATAGCCTCTTAATTCAGCCTCTTCATCAACTCATGCCTCAGTCTCACATCTTGCCTCACACTCCATCCTCCATACAGATTTGTCTTTCTAAACCACAAAGCTGACATCACTGCCAGACTTCAGAAAAAAAAAAATCTAATGTACCCGCTGTTCTCCTTCACACAGATGTTTGATTCTAGGGACTTTGAATTTCTCTTGTTCCTCAGTCCACTATATCACTGTAGCTTTGATCTCTTCCAGCTATGTCTAGCATGCTAGTCCTCACCTTATGAAACAAATTAACTCTAACCAAGTTCTGTTAAGTTCCCTTTTAAAGAAAGTTTAGATATACTTACTGCAGTGAAGTCCATCTTCAACTGAATCACTTTAGTTAAATCAGGAAGTGCAGCTTTTGATTTACCCATAGCTAAAAAGACAGTAGCCCTCCGATAATAAGCAATATAGTTATCAGGGTCACCATCTGAAAATTAAAATATTACCTCTTAGTCATTTATTCAAAAATTAAAAAAAAAAAACAAAAACAAATCACCTGGACAGTATCAGCATTCGCAACTCTACTAAGACGGACATTAAGAAAAGAATCTCATCATCAAAAAGGAGTCATGTTGCCTAGCAAGATCAGTGCAAACAGACCTAGAATAGGGGTCAGCCAACTATAGCCCGAGTCACATCCAACCAGCAGACTTCAGTTAAGAATGTTTTTCACATTTCTTAAAAGTTGCCCAAAAAAAGAAAGAACAAAAGAAAAATATAAGACTGTGGCTGCAAAGCTCAAAATACTTGTCTAGCCCTTTAGAAAAAAAGTTTGCAAACCCCTGGTCTAGAATATTAACTATATTCAATTTATAACCTTTTTCTAGGGGGGGTGGGGGACAAGGTCTCTGTCACCTAGGCTGGAGTGCAGTGGCATGATCATGGCCCTCTGCAGCCTTGATCTCCCACGCTCAAGCAATCCTGTCACCTCAGCCTTCTGAGAGGCTGGGACAACAGGCGTATTCCACCACAGCCAGCTAATTTTTTTTTAAAAATTTTTTGTAGAGAGTCTCACCATGTTGTCCAAGCTGGTCTTGAACTCCTGGCTCCAGCAACCCTCCTACCTCAGCTTCCCAAAATGCTGGGATTACAGGCATGAGCCACTGCACCCAGCCTCAACTCATAATTTTTATAAGTATGCAATTCAGTTTGTCTCTCCGGAGATTTTTCTAAGTGAAATACTAAGAATGTGGACTACGCACATTAGTGTACAGGGTTTTAGAAATGTATAAACCTCTGACTAAATTGATATACTGAATGTATAATCTCTGCTCCCTCACAAACTCCAACTAGAATGGAGGTGAAGAAATAAAGGTACAAGGACAAAGGAGGAGAACAGAAATGAGAGAGACTAGAGAAAGGGACTAGAAAAGTTAACATTTGTAAAGAACGCAGAAAGATGAATTAGGTTTCTCAGCTAATTTTACTCTGCTTATTAGCACCTACAAACTAGAGAAAAGAGTGGATTCAATCAGAAGCAAATCTTCTGCAGAACAATCCTTCTAAAACACAATTTGGAAATATAAGTATATAAAGAATTCTAAAACTAACCTTGACAAAAGCCGGCCATCAATCTTTTAAAAATAAAAGATTTATCTGCTCAGGTGTTCATCATCATAAGATACACAATTAACCTCCCTGAAAGTTATACTCCTAAAGTTTTTGTCACCGGGAAAAATTACAATAGAAGAATCTATATGGCAGGACAGTCTATAATCATTCAAAATTATGGTTGTGAACAGTTGTTAATGGCATTGAAAATGCCAGGGGAAGATGGGTCAGAAAAAGAGATTAGGCTATACAAACAAACGTGAAAGAAGACATACAAATGGCCAATGAGCACATGAAAAGATGCTCACCATCACAAACCATTAGGAAGATGCAAATCAAAACCACACTGATCTGCATGGGGGAACAAAAATACTAATAAAAACTAAAAAAGCAAAACCAAAAAAAAAAAAAACAAACCACATTGAGATACCAGTTCACACCCATTAGGATGGCCATTATGAAAAATAAAAAGATAAAATAACAAGTGTTCACAAGGTGTGGAGAAATTGGAGCACTTGGGCACTGTTGGTGGGATATAAAATGGTATGGCCACTGTGGAAAACAGTAAGATGATTTCTCAAAAAATTAAAAAAATTAAATGTAAAATTACCATGTGGTCCAGTAATTCTACTACTGTGTATATACACCAAAGAAATAAAAGCAAGGGTCAAATATGTATTCAAACACAGCTGTTCATAGCAGTATTATTCACAATAGGCCAAAGACAGAAACAACCCCAAAGTCTGTCAGTGGATGACTGGATAAACAAAAGGTGGGATATACTATACATACAACAGGTTATTCATTCAGCCTTACAGAGAAATGAAACTCCCAGGCATGCTACAACATGGATGAACCTTAAAAACATTATACTAAGTGAAATAAGCCAAGACACAAAAGGAAAATATTGCATATGAGGTACCTAACATACTCATATAATAGAGACAGAAGGTAGAATAGTGGTTCCCAGGGGCTGGTGTAGAGGGTTAGGAATAGGGCTCTATTGTTTAATGGATACAGAGTTTCAGTTTGGGATAATGAAAAAGTTCTGGAGATGGATATTGATGACTCCCCAACAATTTGAACACACTTAATGCCACTGAATTGTACACTTACAAATGGTTAAAATGGTAAATTTTCATGCACTTTACCACAATAAAAAGTAAAAGTATGAACCAGTCAGAAAAAACTGTATTTTTTAAATAAGGAATTGGGTATTTTAACAATAAAAAAACCTTCTTTTTCTTAAATCTAAAAACGAAAATATATGATCCCAGCTAATCGTCACTAAAATTTCTTTACTAAACAACTTCCCTTAGGAGGCAAGTACAGGAGAGCAAAATCAGTAGCCTGAATATAGGATATTTCTTACAAAATACTGTAATTAACTTGAGCAAAGAGTAGGAAACAGAGTAACTACATTTAGAACATGCTTGATATACAGTATTTTTCAGTTCGGTTTATATTTTATTTGTATGGTGCAATAAATTAAAATTTTATGGGTTTGGTTTGTGAACTGGCCATAGAATGATTTCATACCTAAGAATTACTAACATTTAAATGACGCACCAGAGAGCCGAAGGCAGTTCACTGCATGTCAACAGTGGCTATCCATGCAGAGATGGGGTTTCTTCTTCCTGCAGTCCATGTGTTCCAAAATGTTTCACAACGCATATGGATTAATTTTATATTCATTAATTTTTTTAAAAAACTTAAGTTATCCAGGGTTATTCACACTAAGCAAAGAATAATACCGTAAATACCATGATTTAAGGCCTGAAGAAGACAACCCCATCAATTTCATATGTCCAAATCCTTCTCAATCTTTGAGGTACAGCTCAAATGACTTATTTGACTATACATGGAAAAATAAACCTTTCCTTCTCTCAAATTCCATAACATTCTATAATTCCCTTACTGCACCTAACACTAAGCAATGATTATTAATTATTTATACACATTTGGCCCTCTTTATTCATGGGTTCCGCATCTGTGGATTCAACCACCCTCAGACTGAAAATATTTAGGGGAAAAAAATTGTATCTGTATTGAACATGTACAGACTTTTTTCATTATTCCCTAAAAAGTACAGTAAAACAATTATTAACACAGCATTTACATGGTGTACAGTAAACTGCATTAGATTTCTATTTGGAAAAACCTGACCATTCCAATCCAAGAAGAAAAAATCTCCAGAGAGGACTGAGTATGACTTAACTTTTGTATTAAGGATCCCATCATATACAAAAATTGTCTACACACAGTATTTCTGGAGTGTTCACTTTCACTAATTTTACTGTTCAGTTCTTACGCATTTTAAGATAGGAAATGGAATTGGACTGAAATTTATAACACCAAATCTACAAAAATAAAGAATCTGTTGTACTATAAGATATATATTTGGTCTTCTTCCAGTTTCCTGACATACAGCTCCTGCAACCCATGGGATCTCTGGAGTGATTACTTTTTTGTATACTAATGAAATGGTTGGTAGCTGGGCACCCCTAGATAGTTTCAGGATGGGAGCTAGTTGCCAGGGGAACCTACCAGGTTGGAACTTTGAGTACCCTCTACCCTCCTAGGGTTGTTGAAGGTTGAGTTGGTTACCAATAGCCAATGATATAATAAATCATGCCTAAGTGATAAAGCTTCCACAAAAATCTAAAACGACAGGGTTTGGAAGAACTTCCATGCAGCCAAAAACATGGAGGCTCTTGGAGGATGGTACACCCAGAGAGGGCAAAGAAACACCATATCCCTTCCCATATGCCTGGCCCTATGCATCTCTTCCATCTATTTGGTTGTTCATCTGTATCCTCTGTAATATCCCATAATAAACCAGTAAACCTAAGTGTTTCCCTGAGTTCTGTGAGCTGCTCTAGCAAATTAACTGAACCCAAGGAAGGGGTCATGGGAATCCTCATTTACAGCCAGTCAGTCAGAAGCATAGGTAAAACAACCAGGGCCTTAGGAATGGCTTCTGAAGTCAGGAGCGGTCTTGAGGCGCTGAGCTCTCAATCTGTGGGATCTTAGGCTACCTCCAGGTAGACAGTGTCAGAACTGAACAGAATTAGATGATATCCAGCTGCTGTCTGCTGAAGAATCTGTAGGATTACTTGGTGGAGAGAAATTCCCACACATTTTGATGAACAGAGGTCACAGACGTATTCTGCACTGTGAGAATATAACAGGAGAAACTGAATTTCTTTGTACTCCGAGAACCAAATGACAATAGTTTAATACATGAATCAAGAATCAATTTTCCGGCCAGGCACAGTGGTTCATGCCTGTAATACCAGTACTTTGGGAGGCCGAGGCGGGTGGATCACTTGAGGCCAGGAGTTCAAGACCAGCCTGGCCAATATGGTGAAACGCCATCTCTACTAAAAATATTTAAATTAGCCAGGCATGGTGGTGCACACCTATAATCGCTGCTACTCCAGAGGCTGAGGGAGGAGAAACGCTTGAACCCGAAAGGTGGAGGTTGCAGTGAGCTGAGATCACACCACTGCACTCCAGCCTGGGTGACACTGCGAGACTCCATCTCAATTTTCTTAGAGGCATGGGGTCACTTGCATAGTAAATCAAAATAGCCTTCCCTGGTTCTTCATCTGAAAATACCAACAGTTCCTGGAAGTAGAGTCCATTCCTACATCACTGTGCATGAAGTAGCAACTGAAACAAGACTCGGTTTAGAAATGCATGCTTAGTTTTTACCAACATAAGATTTGATAATCTTGAAAGTAAGTACTTTTCCTATTATCCATCCAATATATAATATTGTTCATTATGTAAATTATTTGCAAGCCTACATATGGAAATACTATATTTCATTTTAAGCCACATAATTCAAATCCTTATACTAGCTTATTATTA